AATAAAAAACCACAATGAGGTATCCCATCACCACAGTTAGAATGGCTATCATCCAAATATGAAAAATATAACACATGCTGTTGAGGATGTGGAAAAAAGGGTACTCTAATGCACTGCTGATGAGAATATAAACTAGTTCAACCAATATGGATATGGTATGGAAGTCCTCAGAATCTGAAAGTTGATCTACCAGATGACCCAGACATCCACTCCTGTGAATTTCCCCAAAGAAAATGAAATTAGTACATGAAGCAGTACACGTATGTTTATAGTAGCTCAATTCATAATAGTTAAGGCATGGAATCAACCCAAATGTCCACGAACTGATTACTGTTTAAGGAAGAAGGTGGTACATATTAAGAGAGAATACTACTCAGTCATACAAAAAGAATAAATTCTGTCTTTTGCAACAAAATGGATACAGCTGCGAACTATTATGCTAGTGAAATAAGCCAGATCCAAAAAGACAAATATCATGCTTTAAAAAAAATTGTGGTAGCTAATACATAGAATACAAAAAAGTAATATATATGGGTGAAATCACATCCCAAGACTTAATTATTGTTCATAACCTTTCTCTGTATTCCTGTGTAACTGTGGTCTTTTTACTTTCTATTTGTTGAATTCTTTATTTAGTGGAGAATTAAGCCTGTGACCATAAAGTAATTGAAATTATGTTATTGCAAAATTTAAAAGGAAAAAACAGAGAAAGAAAGGAGGGAGGGCAGAGGGAGGGAGGAAGGATCATTATGGACTTAAAATTGTATATATGAAATATGTCAAATCTGTTCCCCTTATATAAATAAAGAAAAAGTTTACTACTAGAGTTTTCATGATCTGTGATTACTTTAAAATGTAATGTATGGGACCAGCACTGTGGTATAGCAGGTAAAGCTGCCACCTGCAGTGCAGGCTTCCCATATGGGTGCTGGTTCGAGTCCTGGCTGCTCCACTTCCTTATTTATTTATTTATTTATATTTAATTGACAGAGTTAGACAGTGAGAGAGAGACAGAGAGAAAGGTCTTCCTTCCTTTGGTTCACCCCCCAAATGACCACTACAGCCGGAGCTATGCTGACCCGAAGCCAGGAGCCAGGTGCTTCCTCCTCCTGGTCTCCCACATGGGTGCAGGGGCCCAAGCACTTGGGCCATCCTCCACTGCCTTCCCAGGCCAGAGCAGAGAGCTGGACTGGAAGACGAGCAACTGGGAGTAGAACCCAGCGCCCATATGGGATGCTGGCACTGCAGGCGGAGGATTAACCAAGTGAGTCACGGTGCCAGCCCATGGCTGCTCCACTTCCAATCCAGCTCTCTGCTATGGCCTGGGACAGCAATGGAAGATGGCCCAAGTCCTTGGGCCCCTGCACCCATGTGGGAGAGGAAGCTCCTGGCTCCGGATCAGCGCAGCTCCCACCATTGCGGCTATCTGGCGAGTGAATCAGCAGATGGAAAACCTCTCTCTCTCTCTGCCTTTCAAATAAATAAATAAATTTTTTAAAAAATAAATAAAATAAAATGTAATGTATATGGGTGAAATGGTTGTCTTTCCATTTGACTTGGGTAAATCTTTCCATTTGCTTTTAGCCCTTGCCTGTATTCCCACTAAGCTATGGTCTTTTAGCATTTTACTCCTTGAATTCTTAAGACTACATAGTATTTAAAGAACAAACAACAGCAGACTAAAACCACCATGAGATAGTATAATAAGATCTAGTATGAGATAATAACTCATTAGTATGCCTAAAATTTAAAAGACTAACAACTTAAGTCTTGCTGAGTATTTGGAGAAACTAAATTCCTTTTCACTACAAATGGGAACATACATTGGTAACAATCATCTGGAATGCCACTGGTTAGTGTGTATTGCTGTATTCCCTACGACTAGAATTTCAATCCTTAGGGTCACATAATATCATTCCACTCCAGAGTATTCCATGGACATGCTCAACAAAAAGATACTTATAACAATATTCACAGCAACTATCCACAGCAGACCAAAACTGGAGAAAAACCAAAGTGTTCATTTGCCTTATGCTAGGTTTAAAAATTATGACACATTTATAATTCCAAGCAGAATGAGAATAAATAAACCACAGTGCTAATGCACACTAATAATGGTAAATCTCACAAATATGTTGAGCAATAAATCCAGCTAAAACTGACATATAGGTTTATATTGAATTTAAATTTTCCATTCCACAAAAGACCCCCTAATTTTACATTATAAGGAGAATGACAGAGAGAAGGGCCTTGGCTGGGACAGTATCAAAATCATAGGAGAAAAAGATGCCTCATATCTGTGCTCTCCTAGTTGTTCTATCTGGGTCATAACTGGAAGTGAAGAGGGTGAGAGCAGCAAGCCCAGCATGATGAGTGATGGACAAGCTCAAGGTGATGGACCAGGGAAAGACTTCACAACAAACAGTGTATCTCCTGTCTTTAAGGACGCACTGCAGATTAGCATCTATTTTCACTAATGAGAACTCTAGGGCCTCCAAACTTTGTAAATATTCCCACATGAGCCCCCTTGGGGACTTTCCAGTTCTACTTATTGTGCCTCAAAAAATCTACCCTACAGTTGCCTACAACAGTGAATTCCATTTCCATTCTACAAGGGAAAGAGGCTGTCTCCAGATGGGTCTGTGATATGAATTTTCCATTGTTTGACAGCAAAGCATTAAGGCTACCGAACCCCACAGCTCAACAGCATCTCAGATTGGCTGAGAACAGCTGGGTAAGTGCCCATTCACATAGACCAGAGTTACATAAATGGGGGATGGCTATTTAGTCTAGCGATTAAGACGCCACTGGGAAAAACTGCTTCCCATATTGTAATGCCTTGGTTTGAGCCTTGGCTCTGCTGCGGATTCCAGGTTCCTTATAATGCACAGCTTGGGAGATAGCAGGTGATGGCTCAGCTGGTTGGGTCCCTGTCAGCCACATGGGAGACCTCCTTTGAGTTCATGGCTTCTAGCTTTGGCCTGTCCCAGCACTGGCTATTATAGGTATTTTGTTAATGAAATAGCAGACAATATCTCTGTCACTGTATGGTTATTTGCCTCTCAATAAATAAATCAATAAATATCTTAAAAAGTATAAGTAAAACACTTTTAGCCCAGGGCCTGTGCAATACTTTAATAGACAGTACCAGTACTAGTTAACTCTTCTTACTATTATTTTTGTAGTGATTGAGATGTTTTGTAATTTATTCACAATTAATAAAGGACAGAGGCAAGATTTACAGCTAGAATCTGTACTCTTGAGCACTAAGATATTCCACTTCTTGTTAAAGAACAAACAAAACAGGGCTCAATAAGATTGTATTAAACTGTAAAATCAAGAGGCAGCTCCTTTGTGTCTTTCTGGAATGTCAGACTTCTCTTTTCTCCAAGTTTGGTCCAATTTTTCTGCCTGTAGATACACTGCAAAGGTTTACAAAAAGCTGTAGTGGTGAGATCATTGCCTCTGCTCCCCACTCCTTATGAATATATGAGATCTTCAGAGCCTAAGACTAGCTAACTCCAAGTATCAGTAACTCCAAGTTTTGAAGAGACACCCAACTCAGTTTGATTCAGCTGACTCCAAGTTTCAAACCCCTGTGGCTGGGAGACTGGTCATATTTTAGGTCATTCACCATACTGCTTACCGCCTTCTCCCTACACTGGTCCTCCCAACTGGTATACAGCCTTGGGATGTTCCCATGTACCTAAAAGTTTGTATCCCTACTCTACTCTTTACTACTTCTGATATAGCTAATTACTACTCCAGATCCCAAATTATATTCCCTCTTCTCTAATGAGTTTACCTGGAAATCTAATTTAAATTATGCCCCCAATTATACTTTCTCACTGGTATCATCCTACTTCTCCTTTTCATCTAATCAGAGTTTCTGATTGTATGTTCACTTGTTTACTTATTTATGGTTGGTATCTTTACTTAGCTTTTAAGTGTAGAAAATATATGTTTCAGTTACTTGTAAATACCCAGTGCCCACAGGCACTCCAGGAATTCATTAGGCAATAAGCTCAACAAACGTCTGAATAGATGAAAAATCACAAATTGAGCTCTCTAGGGTGTTGAGAAGCATCCTCAAGAATGGGGCTATTCCACAAGGCTACAGAACCAAAATAGTTAACAGACACGTGTAAGAACGAGGAGAAAAATGACAGTCTGCCTGCCTCAGGAGTAATAATTGCATTATGGACTAACTTCCAGGTTTGGTAGAAGAAAAACTTTAAGTTGAACGTTGACTTGCCTCCTTTTTAACTTTGTGATCCTAGGCTGGTCAGTTGGCCTCTCTGTCTCCATATCCCGATCTGATGATGAAGGGAAAAGTTACACAGCACACAGGTAGTGTGGACTAAATGTTAGAAGTCATTGGCACATAGCATTCACGCCAGAAATTATTTCCCCATCTCCAACCCTGCAAACAGGCTCTGCTGCCTTTGCCTTTGTCCTCTCATCCCCTCTGGAACCCATCTCTGACACCCTTCCTCAGAGTCTTCACATATTCTAGGACATTCCACTGGGAAACTCCCCAGAGAGCATTCCTCAGAAGCTCTGAGCTACACAGTGTTCAAAAGCCTCTGCAGGTGGGAGCAACCACCTTAATTCTTTCCTGTTGACCACACAGAAGTTTCACATTTGTTCCCCCAAGGGTGCAGTGAGGCGGGTGAAGAGCCTTTCATTCCCGGGCCCAGATCCAACACTTAATGGTTCCTTGGATAGGTTGCTAAGCTCTTTTAAAACACTGCCAAAAAAAAATTCATCCTGGTTGCCTAATCAGAGGCAGATTAGTAGAGAGATTAAGATCCCAGACTACAAAGGTAGAATTCCTAAGATAACCTTCTTTCTGCCTCTTTTTAGGAGACTTAGTTCTTTCCTCAATAAAGTGAGAACAACAATAATTACTTCATAGGTCTCCTCTGGGTTTCAATGTGATGATGCTCAACTGTTAACATTCTAATATATCTTTATTTTATGTTTTTGTTCCCGTTAAGACCATATCAGGGGAAGAAAAATTGCTGATGTCATCTCTGGATTCTTTAGTGACTCTGTGACATGAAGACAGGAAACCACACCCGTGTTTCTGAGTTCCTCCTCCTCGGTTTCTCTGAGCAGCAGGATCGGCAGCCTCTCCTCTTCTGCACCTTCCTGGTTCTTTACCTGGTCACGGTGGCAGGAAATAGTCTCATCATCCTCACAATTGGCTTGGATTCACACCTCTACACCCCCATGTACTTCTTCCTGGCCAACTTCTCCCTCACTGATCTGTGTTTATCATCGACAACAGTTCCCCAAATGCTGGTGAACATCCGTACTCAGAGACATACTATTCCCTACGCTGGATGCCTGTCCCAGATCTACTTCTTCCTGTGGTTTATTGGTCTAGACGTTTTCCTCCTAGCAGTGATGGCTTATGACCGGCTTGTGGCTGTTTGCCACCCCCTTCACTATGCCTTGGTCATGAGTCCCAGGTGCTGTGTCCTCCTGGTGGGCATGTCCTTGGTCCTTGCTCATTCCTACTCTCTAACCCACACCATTCTCCTGGCTCAGTTACACTTCTGCACTGACAACATCATCCCCCACTTCTTTTGTGAACTTCTCCCGTTGTTAAAGCTCTCTTGTTCCAGTACTTATGCCAACCAATGTGTGCTGACGTACTGGGGAGGGGCATTAACCATCCTGATCCCCCTGCTGATCATGATCTCATATGTCCGCATTGTGGCTGCCATTATGAGAGTCCCATCAGCAAGTGGCAAGTGGAAGGCCTTCTCCACCTGTGGCTCCCATCTTTCGGCTGTTTGTCTGTTCTACGTGTCTGCTATTGGGGTGTATTTCATTCCCTCCAGGGATGATTCGGCCATCAAGGACAGGATGGCAGCAGTGATGTATGCTGTGGTCACCCCCATGCTGAATCCATTCATCTACAGCCTGAGGAACAGAGACATGAAGCAGGCCTTGGGGAGACTGCTGAGGGGGGAGGCACTGAAATCTCTGTGACACCAGGGGTATCGTTTGGGAATTCAGGTGAAATCAACTTTTCAAGTTATCTTGGTGCGTAAGTTCAACTCCTGCACCTGTCACTCACTAGCTTTCCAATGCAGGGAGAATTAAATACCCTCGCTGAGCTGCACTTTCCTCATCTCACAGAAGAGGGTGGTAACAATCTCTTACACAGCATTTATCTGATACTTATGCTTCTTCTAGGCCTTGTGAGTAAATCTTCATCATATTTACAATATTCTCTTTTTAAAAATTTTTAATTAACTTTTATTTTATTTGAAAGTCAAAGACACAGAAATAAAGAGGCAGACACACACACACACACACACACACACACACACACATAGAGAGAGAGAGAGAGAGAATCTTCTGTCCCCTGGTTCACTCTCCAAATACCTGGGAGAGTAACGGCCAGGCCAGGCTGAAGGCAAGAGCCAGGAACTCAATCCAGGTGTCCCACATCACTGACCGGGACCCAACTACTTAAGCCATCACCTGAAAAGGCTCCAAGAATGTGGAATCAGAAATGGAAACCAGGACTCAAATTCGGGCACTTTCTGAAATGGGCAGCATCTTCACTACTTTGCCAAATGCCTGCCGCTAAGATAGTTTTTCAAATGAAAACAAGTCCTACATTGCAGACGGAAGTACCTCTGCTTACATATTAGGTTGCTCCTTTGTCGCCTTGAGACTTCCAGCAAGTTATGAGCATCCCCGGGCCCCAGTTTCCAGCCTGTTTTCCACGATGTCCGTCATAACTTACATTTCCACCAAATGTGTATGAGAGTTCCCACTCTCCTCTTCCTCACTAGCACTTATTTTTTGTCTTTCTGATAATAGCCATGGGAACCGAGAGGCTATTTCTCATTGTGGGTTTGACTTTTAGTTTCCTCCTGGTCAGTAAAGTTGAGCATTTGCCCATGAAATTACTGACTGTGTGCATATCCTCCTTTGAGAAACAGCTTTTCAGTTCATCTGCCCATTTTAAAATCAGACTTTTTCATTTTGCTGTTGTTTTTTATATTATCTAGATTTTAACCTCTTTTCAGATGAACAGCTTGCAAATATTTTCTCACATTCTGCGGGTTGTCTCTATCTTTTTGATTGCTTTCTTTTCTTTGTAGAACATTTGTAGTTTAATGTAATCCTCACTTGTGAATTTTTGCTTTCATTGCCATGTTTTGGGTGTCTTATCCAAAAAAATCCTTGTCTGGACCCATGTCCTAAAGCATTCTTTTTCTATATTTTCTTCCAGTAGTTCAATATATTGAGTCTTTGATCACTTTGGAGTTGATTTTTTTTATATGATGAGAGATGAGAGTCTAGCTCCTTCCTTCTGCATATGGATATACAGCCATTGCCTTATTTTACAGACCACTGACCACTTTGTGGACCACTGATGCCACCTTGGAAGCCACAATACTATGCAACAAAATAAAATCAGGAAGTGTTTCCATCAGGGAGTGTTCAAATTAACATCAAAATATATTATTAAAACTGCCATATTGGCCGGCACCATGGCTCACTTGGCTAATCCTCTGCTTGCAGCGCCGGCACCCCGAGTTCTAGTCCCAGCTGGGGCGCTGGGGTTGCTTCTCTTCCAGTCCAGCTCTCTGCTGTGGCCCGGGAAGGCGGAGGATGGCCCAGATGCTTTGGTCCCTGCACCCGCATGGGAGACCAGGAGGAAGCACCCGGCTCCTGGCTTCGGAATGGCGTAGCGCCGGCCGTAGCAGCCATTAGGGGAGTGAACCAATGGAAGGAAGACCTTTCTCTCTGTCTCTCTCTGTCTATACTCTACCTGTCAAATAAAAATTAAAAAAAAAAAACTGCCACATCCCTCAAAGCCCTTAATTAGGAGTAATGTTTATTGGACACTATGATTGCTGATAATTTCCTAATCTTAGACTATCTGCCAAACAGTCAAGTCAGCATTTGTTCTTGTAAGAGTACTGATTGTTACATGTAAATAGTCAATACAGGCAAAGAGCTCAGACAACATAGTAGATGGACTATTTGTCTTGCACCCATTCATCTCTCTCTGGGACTCTCATGAATGAGTAATAAACTTTCAAACTCTCTTACTGTGTGAAGCATCATCAACCTCTAACATCTGAATCAAAAAATATGTCTTCTGATAAAACACACTGATATCTCTAGAAAAGATCAATGGCCCAAATCTAATACACACACACACACACACACACACACGCCTAATAAAGCTAACATAGTGAAATGATATCAAAATGGCATAGTAGGAGTTCTACTCTCCCCCAACAGAAATCCAACCAGTAGCTATCTAGAGACAAGATTGCCATCCAGATTATCACAAAACTTGAGAGTGACGTCCCCTATAGCACAGAGCCACGAAAAGTCATGAGCAGCTGGTGAATGAACAGTTCTCTTTGACTGCGATATGCTTGCTCCAAATACACATAGTTCTGCATGTGAATGATTTACATAGATTCCCAGTTTCTCCAATAAGAAAATGACTTGGAGGTAGATAATCAGCTTCCAACTCCCATTTTGAGAACCTTTGCAGGAGGTTCACTCTGTTCTCATCCCAAAGGAAGAAGGGCAGTGTCAACAGGGCTTGCCCACAGAGGTCATTTAGGAATAAAGAATGGCTCACAGCCGCCAATGTGGGAAACTCAGTGCCAGTTGTAGCAGACCTGGACTTATGGCATCTTCTAATTCTGCAACGGCTGCAGCAGCCAAGGGCTTACAGACCAAAGAGAAAGAATTTCTGGAGAGATCTGTAGAAGGATGGTCACAGGGCTGGGTATTTGGCAAAATGGTTGACATGCCACTTAGGACATACACATCCCATATTGGAATGCTTGGTTTTAGCCCTGCTCTGATTTTGATTCCAGTTTTCAACTAATGTGCACCTGGGGATGCAGCCGGTGATGGCTCAAGTACGTATATCCTTGCTACTCACATGGGAGACTGGGATTGAGCTCCTGATTTTGACCTGGCCCAGTGCTTGAAGTTGTGAGCATTTAAGGAATTAATTGGAAGATGCAATATTTCTCTCTCTCTCTCTCTCTCTCTCTGTGTGTGTGTGTGTGTGTGTGTGTCTGTCTCTCTCTGACTTTCAAATAAAAAATAAATAAATTTTAAAAAATTTTAAAGAGGATAGTCCCAAAGTCATACCATGAAGACTGGAATAAATACCTATACATTCCATGCACTGACATCAAGTATAGCCACAAACATCAGGAAAATAATGAGTGGGCAAGCATTTGTCCTATTAAGATGACAGTTGGGATACCTGCATCTCATGTCAGAGTACCTAGGGTTGATACCCACTTCTAGCTCCTCCCTCCAGCTTCCTTTAATGCAGACCCTGAGAAGCAGTAGTGATGGCTCAAGTAACTGGATTTCTGTCATTCATGTTGGAGAACTGGATTGAGTCTCCAGCTCTTGGTTTTGGTCCCAAACAAGGGCCACTGAAGGCATTTGGAGAGTGAATCAGTAGACGAGAGATTCATTCATTCATTCATTCATTCTCTTTCTCCCTCCCTCTACTTCCCCTTTTCCATAACTCTGACTTTCAAATAAACAAACAAATCTTAAAAAAAAAAAAAAAAACAGAAAATGCACAGAAAAGGAAGAACAATGAAAAGGGATGCAGAAGATTATGGGATTGATGGGATAGAAACAACAAAAGAAAATGTAAAAGTACACAAATTCACGATACTGTAATGATGGTGTGCCTAATTAAAATTATTTCTAATTAGAAGCCTAGGACTCAGTGTTGTGCTGCAATGAGTTAAGCTGCCCCTGCAATGCTGGCATCCCATATGGGTGTTGGGTTGAGTTCCAGATGTTCCATTTCCATTCTGTCTCCCTTCTAATGCCCCTGGGGAAGCAGCAGAAAATGACCCAGGTGCTTGGACCCTGCCACCCACATGGGAGATCTGGATGAAGCTCCTGGCTCCTATGTTTGACATGGCCTAGCCCTGGCCATTGCGGTCATTTGGGAAGTGAACCAGCAGAAGGAAGATTTCTTTCTCTTTCTATCTCTCCTCTCTCTGTAACCCTCCCTTTCAAATAAATAAATCTTTAAAAAAAAAAAGCAAGAAGGTTAAAGAGATAAAACTATTATAATAATTAAAATAATCTCTTAAGGGATATATAGTGAAAATATGTAAATAGTGACATCAAAATTCCAAAATATGGTGAGGGAGTGAAGCATAGAATTTGAAAAATTTTTTGCAAAGTTGAGTAGTTATAAGTTTGAAATAATCTGTTTTAATTACCAGAAATTTTTGGTAATCTTTGTGGTAACCACAAAATGAAAAGCAACAAAAGGTATATTAAAAGTTAAATTCAAGGACTCAAAACATACCAGGAGGAAAAAAATTAACCACAAGGAAGGCAATAAGAAACAAAGAAAAAAAAAAAAAACAAGAATTTGTAAATCAATTAGAAAACAGTTAACAAAATGGTAACAATTACCTTGAATGTCAATTGATTAAGTTCTCCAGTAAAAGACATTGAGAGGCAGGATGGATTTTAAAAAAAAAAACAATTATATCATGCCTGCACGAGAGTTCACCTGTAGGGACACAAATAGACTGAAAGTGAAGAACTACAAGATGATGTTCTATGCAAAGGGAAGCCAAAGAGAGCAGGAGTAGCTATACTTATATAAAACAGACTTTAGGTTAGAAACTGCAAAAAGAGGTGATTCCAAGATGGCTGACCAGGGAAAGGACATGTTGCTTCAGATGAGGGGACACAGCAGAAGAAAAGCAGACGAAGTGCATTCCCAGGAAAGAGTTGGAGAGAAGTTGACAGTGGAAATCCTACAGAGGGAAGAGGGGTGGTGTGGAGCAGCACGAAAGGTGTGGACACATAGCAATGAGCAGAGAGACCACAGACAACCTGTAGCTGAAAACTGGAGGAGATGCCAGCTTGGGAGAGTGAGGTGAGAGGAGACTGCAGTAGCCCAAGCCACTGGTGACACTGCCTGAGTCCGACCTGGAAGTCTAGCGAGGGACAAGGTATCTGCTTATTCAAGCTAAAGAAACAGCTATTATATGCCAATGGATCTAAAGGGAGACATATACTCCAAAACCACAGTAATGGGGGACTTCAACACCCCATGTTTACAATGGACAGATCAACTAACAAGAAGATAAAAAAAGACACAACAGAGCTACTATAACTATGGACCAAATGGACCTAACTGATATCTATAGAACCTTTCATCCTATGGTTGAAAAATACACATTCTTCTCATCAGTGCATGTAACATTAGCTAGGATAGGCCATATGCTAGGCCATAAAGCAAGTCTCAGAAATTCAAAAAAATTAGAAGCATACCATATATTTTTACTTACCACAATGGAAGGAAGCTGGAAATGAACAATTCAATAATCTCTAGAAAATATGCAAACACATGGAGGCTGAACAGCAAGCTCCAAATGAACAGTGGGTCATAGAAGAAATCAAAAGGGAAATAAAAAATTTCTAGAAACTAATGAAGACAACAATACAACCTATAAAAACTTATGGGATACAGCAAAAACAGTGTTAAGAGGGAAGTTTATAGCCATTGGAAAGGCTTTATCAAGATATTGGAAATGAATCAACTAAATGAGCTCTCAATGCATCTCAAGGACCTAAAAAACAGCAAAACAAATCCCAAATTAGGAAGAAATAATTAAAATTATAGAATAAACAAAATTGAAACCTTAGTAACAATGCAAGAGGTCACTGAAATGAAGAGTTGGTTTTTTGAAATATTGGTACACCACTGGCTCAACTAACCAAAAAAGGAGGGAGCAGATGCAAATCAATAAAATCAGAGATGAAAAAGGAGGTGAAACAATGGATATCACAGAAATAAAACGAACCAACAGAAAATAATACAAAAAGCTATATGTCAAAAAATTGGCAAATCTAAAAGAAATGGATAGATTCTTGGGCACTAAAAATCTACTAAAATTGAGTCATGAAAACATAGAAACCCTAAAAAGACCAATAACCAATATGGAAATTGAATCAGTAATAAAGATCCTCCCAACAAAGAGAAACCCAGGACCTAAGGACTTCACTGCTGAATTCTACCAGATTTTTAAAGAAGAACTAATTCCGGCCGGCGCTGCGGCTCACTAGGCTAATCCTCCACCTGTGGCACCGGCACCCCGGGTGCTAGTCCCAGTTGGGGCGCCGGATTCTGTCCCAGTGGTTCCTTCTCCAGTCTAGCTCTCTGCTGTGGTCCGGGAGTGCAGTGGAGGACGGCCCTAGTGCTTGGGCCCTGCACCCGCATGGGAGACCAGGAGGAAGCACCTGGCTCCTGGCTTCGGATCAGTGCAGCGTGCTGGCCGTGGCGGCCATTTGGGGGGTGAACCAACAGAAGGAAGACCTTTCTCTCTGATTCTCTCTCTCTCTCACTGTCTAACTCTGTCTGTCAAAAAAAAGGAAGAACTAATTTCAACTCTTTTCAAGCTATTTGAAATAATTTAAAGGGAGGGAATCCTTTCAGACCCCTTCTATGAGGCCAGCATCACCTTGATTCCTAAACTGAACAAGATAAAACAAAACTACAGACCAATATCACTGATGAACATACATGCAAAAATATGGTTAGCTCAATAGATGCAGAAAAAGAATTTGATAAAAATACAGCATCTGTTGTTCATGATATAAACCTTAAGCAATTTGGGTATAGAAGGAACGTTCCTCAAAACAATCAAGGCAACCTATGACAAAGCCACAGCCAGCATCTTATTGCATGGGGAAAAGTTGGAAGCACTTCCACTAAGATCTGGAACCAGACAAGACTGCCCACTTTCACCATTGCCATTCAATGCATATTATGTATATACAAAAAAATGTATATTATGGAAAAATTATGCATTGATTTAAAAATGTTTTTAACCAAAATAAACATCTTTTATTCCATTTTCATGATTGTGTTGAAGTACCTTTGTATGGTACAAGTACAGAATAAACTGCAATGCAACTTTAAAAAAAGAAACTATAAAAAGAGACAAAGAAAGTCATTAAGTAATGATCAAGGGATCAATGAAGCTAGAAAATATAACAATTATAAACAGATACATACACAATATTGGAATATATATAACAAATATTAATAGAACTGAAGGCAAAGACACAATGTAATAAAAAATAAAAAAGGAATTCCAGTATCTCATGTCAGTAAGGGACAGACTAACCAGACAGAAAGCCCACAAAGAAATACTGAATTTAAACTGCATATTAGACCAAATGAACCTAACATACATATAGAATATTCCATTTAATGGTTGCACAAGCCTCTACAAATTTAAAAAAGAAATTACTTCAAGTATGTTTTCTGACCACCAATATATAAAATTATAAATCAGCAACAAGAGGATCTCAAAAGTTCATGAATATGGCCGGCGCCGCGGCTCACTAGGCTAATCCTCCGCCTTGCAGCGCTGGCACACCAGGTTCTAGTCCCGGTCGGGGTGCCAGATTCTGTCCCAGTTGCCCCTCTTCCAGGCCAGCTCTCTGCTGTGGCCCAGGAGTGCAGTGGAGGATGGCCCAAGTGCTTGGGCCCTGCACCCCACGGGAGACCAGGAGAAGTACCTGGCTCCTGCCATCGGATCAGCGCGGTGCACCGGCCGCAGCGCGCCAGCCGGGGCGGCCATTGGAGGGTGAACCAACGGCAAAGGAAGACCTTTCTCTCTGTCTCTCTCTCTCACTGTCCACTCTGCCTGTCAAAAAAAAAAAAAAGTTCATGAATATAAGGAAACAGATCAGTGGAACAATGATGAAATTGAGTGAAATGTCAAAATTGCATGAGACAAATGAAAATGGAAATGCAACATACCAAAACCTATGAAATACAGTAAAATCAGTCCTTAGAGGGAAGCCTGTAACTACCAAAAACCTAGTCAAAAACTAAGGGAGGGGCTGGACCCTGAGGCACAGTGAATTAAGCTGCAGTTTGGGTCTCCCCACATCTCATATCAAAGAACCACTTTGAGTACGGCTACTCTGTTTCCTTCAGCTTCTTACTAATGTGGCCTGGGAGGTGGCAGATAGACTCAAGTGCCTGGGTCCCTACCACCCATGTGGGAGACCCAGTGGGAGTACTGGGCTCCTGGCTTTGACCTACGCCAGCTAGTATTCCCTCGTGAGATATACAATTTGCAAATATTTTCTCCCATTCTGTTGGTTGCCTCTTCACTTTGCTGAGTGCTTCTTTTGCTGCTGTGTGGAAGTGTCTCAGTTTGATGTAATCTCATCTATTTTTTATTTTATTGTCTGTGTTCATGGGGTCTTATACAAAAAATGTTTCCCTATGCCAATGTCATGCAGCATTTCCCCTGTTTTCCTCGAGTAATTTGATGCTTTCATATTTTAGTTTTAGATCCTTGAGCCACTGTGAGTTGATTTTTGTACAGGGTGTAAGGTGGGGATCTTGTTTCATACTTCTGCATGCAGAGATCCACTTTTCTCAACACCATTTGCTGAAGAGACTATCATTTCACCAGGAAGGATTTTAGCTCCTTTGTCAAATATTAATTAGTTGTAGATGTGTGGATTCATTTCTGGGATTTCTATGCTATTCCTATTTTTCTGCAATTACCAGGCTGTTTTGATTTTAACAGTCCTGAAATCTGGTAGTGTGATGCTTCAGGCTTTGTTTTCATTGTTTAAGATTGCTTGTTTTATTGTTTCAGATTGGCTATTTTGGGTCTCTTTTGTTTATGTGTGAATTTTAAGATCATGATTTCTAAATCTGAAAGAATGTCCCTGACATTTTGATAGGGACCACATTGAATTTGCAAATTGCTTTGGATAGTATGAACATTTTGATGACATTAACTCTTCCAATTCGTAAACACAGAAGATTTTTCTGTTGTGTTTGTGTCTCCTATTTCTTGCAATGTTTTTTAATTTTCATAGTAGAGATCTTTCAGATCCTTAGTTAAGTTTATCCCAAGGTATTTAATTTTTTTGTAGTTATTGTGAATGGGACTGATCTTACAAGTTATTTTTTCAGTCAAAGCATCACTGGTGTATATGAATGCTATTTATATTTGTGTGTTAATTTTATAGCATGAAAATTTTCTGAATTCTCTTATGAGTTTCAAAAGTCTCTGAGTGGAGTCTTTTGGCTCCTTTACATAAAGGATCATGTTATCTGTAGAGGGATAATTTGACCACTTCCTGTCCAGTTTGTATCCCTTTCATTTCCTTTTCTTGTCTAATGGCTCTGGCTAAGACTTCTAGAGCTATCTTGAGTAGTAATGGTGACAGTGGGCATCCTTGTCTGATTCTGGGTCTTACTAGAAATGCTTCCAGACTTTCCCCCACTCAACTATGATTTTGGCTGTGAGTCTGTTATATATTGCCTTGATTATGTTGAGGTGTGTTCTTCCTACACAAAATTCTTTAAAGATTTTTTGTTTATCATGAAAAGATGTTGTATTTTATCAAATGCTTTCTCTGCATCTATTGAGGTAATCAATATGGTTTTCATCCTTTATTTTGTTAATGTGATGTATCACATTTATAATTTTTTGAATAATTTAAGAAGAATTTGGATTAGTTCTTCCTCAAATGATAGCAGAATTCAGCAGTGAAACCATCCAGTCCTGGGTTTTTCTTTGTTGGGAGACTTTGTATTACTGATTCAGCATCAGTCTTGATTATTGGTCTATTCAGGTTTTCTACACCTTTGTGCCTCAATTTTGTTAAATTTTATGCATTCAGAAGCCTATCCATTTCTTGTAGATTTTACAAATTGTTTGTATATAGCTGTTTGTCAATAATTCCTTATGATTCCTTTTATTTATGTGGCATCAGTTATAACATCTCTGTTTTGATCTCTGATTTTATTAATTTGGGTTTTCTCCCTTTTTTTGGTTAGTTGGGCCAGTTGTTTATCAATTTTGTTTATTTTTTTAACTTCTTTTTTTTTTTAACTTTTATTTAATGAATATAAATTTCCAAAGTACAGAATATGGATTACAATGGCTTCCCCCCCACCATAACGTCCCTCCCACCCGCAACCCTCTCCTTATCCACTCCCACTCCCCTTCCATTCACATCAAGATTCATTTTCTATTCTCTTTATATACAGATCAGTTTAGCATACATTAAGTAAAGATTTCAACAGTTTGCTCCCACACAGAAACATAAGGTGAAAAATACTGTTTGAGTACTAGTTATAGCATTACATCTCAATGTACAGCACACTAAGGACAAAGATCCTACATGAGGAGTAAGTGCACAGTGACTCCTGTTGTTGACTTAACAAATTGACACTCTTGTTTATGGCGTCAGTAATCACCCTAGGCTCTTGTCATGAGCTGCCAAGGCTATGGAAGCCCCCTGAGTTCACCAACTCTGATCATATTTAGACAAGGCCATGGTCAAAGTGGAAGTTCTCTCCTCCCTTCAGAGAAAGGTACCTCCTTCTTTGATGACCCATTCTTTCCACTGGGATCTCACTCGTGGAGATCTTTCATTTAGGTTTTTATTTTTCAAAAAATCAGCCCTTCATTGCACTGATCTTTTATATAGTTTTCAATTTCAATTTTAGTTCTCTAATTTTTATTATTTCTTTCCTCCTACTAAGTTTATGTTTGGTTTATCCTTTTTTTCTAGGTCTTTGAGATGTATTATTAGATCATTTATTTAACATACTTCCAATCTTTTGATGTAGGCACTAGTTGCTATACACTTTCCTCTTAATAATTCTTTCACTGCATCCTGTAAGTTTCATTATTTCAAGGAATCTTTTGATTTATTCTATGATCCACTATTCATTCAGAAAAATGTTAGCCTCTATGCATATTTTCTAGATAAATTAAGAAAAAAAGGAAAAGACTCAATACGGTCAGAAATTAAAAGGAGACATAATTGATAACAAGGAAATACAAAGAATCATAATAAAATATGAGAAATTATATATAAATCAATTGGATAATCTATAAAAATGGATAAATTCCTTGACACAAAACCTACCAATAATGAATCAAAAAGACAGAGAATCAGAACAAAAAATAATGAGTAAGGAACTAGATTAAGTAACAGAAAGTCTCACATCACAGAGGAGCCTAGTACACGACTACTTTACCACTAAAGTCTACCAAACATTTAAAGAATTACTAATATTAATTCTTAACTAACTCTTCTAAAATTGAAGAGGAAGAAATTCTTCTGAAATTGTTCTACAAATCCAGCATTATTGAAGAAACAAATAAATGAGGAACTTCCCAAGATCACAGATTGGAAGGATTAGTTATAATGTCCATACTACCCAAAGTGACCTACAAATTCAATTAAATCTCTTTGAAAATACCAATGGCATTCCTCAAAAAAATAGAAAAAAAAATCTTCTTGTAATTCACATGGAACCACAAATGATTCCAAAAAGGCAAGGAAATCTTGAAGGGCATGAAGCTGGAGAACCATACTACCAGAGTTTAAAATACACTGCAAAGCTATAGTAACCAACATGGTCTGCTGCTGACATCAAAACAGACCCGTGTGTATCTCTTCAAAGAACCAGCTCTTCATTTCATTGATATTTTAACGTTTTAAGTTTTTACGTCATTTATTTGTGCTCTGAGTTTTATTATTTCTTTCCTTACATGAATTTTGGATGTGATTTTTTTCCTTGGGCTTACAGACCCAGCCCTGAGCTCCAAGGTATGTTCCTAAACTCCCTCTCCTGGCCTCTCTGCTGGACTGGAATTTTGCTCTCTCCTGGCAATTGGGGGAGGGGTGGTAGAGGCCCTCTGGCTGGGTGTCTCCAAATAGTCACCCCACAGTTTAGGGCCTGGGGGCAGGGGCTGGTGGCCTCAGCCACACTGAGTATTTTGCAATGGGCTTGGCACTGGATTAGGTTCACTCTGCCTCTCCCAAGTGGGAGGCTCCCTTCCACGAGGTGCTCCTTGGAGCTGGGAGAAGGGCGATAAGTGCAACTCTTTCCTTCTTGCCTTCTTTAATGTGATTTTTCTTAGGACAACAAGACAAGGCTCTGGGATCTTTTCCCGGGCTTTCGTGGTTCTTGTGAAGGGACTTGCTGTGTGTGTAGCTGCTCACACTGGGGAGAAGCGGGTGGGTCGGACTTCTCACTCATCTTGACTCTGCCTCCAAAAAACAACTTCTTAAAGATAACGAACTCCAGACATAGATCCGTAACACCATGTTAACTGTAAAAAATTCTAACGTAAAATCTAAATGTAAAGGCAAGATGTTAAGGCTCTTAGAAGAAAATGTTGAATAATGTGAGCTTCTTCACAATCTTGAGTTAAATATGTTTCAATAAACAAGACAGAATTTCCTGAAATATCTATAAAAGAAAATAAATGAGAAATTGAACTTCATTTAACTTTAAATTTTCTGTCCTCCAAGGGACACTGTTAGAAAAATGAAGAAGCAAACCACTAACTGGGGGAATTAATTACATTATATATAGCTAATGAAAAGCTAACGATTAAAGTATATGAATTAAAAAATCTTACAAACCACTATTAAAAGGCAATTAATCCAATAAAAATGGCAGAAAGCCCCCCTCTAAAAAAAGATACATAAATGACCAATAAACACATGAGAAGGTACTCAACATCATTAGCCATTAGAAATCAAATTAAAAATACAATGAGATACTACTTCTTAATGTTCTGGGATGGCAAATGTATTAGCTGTAAGATTCCTATTGACGGAGTGTTTTGCTTCCTGAGTCAGTTACCTGGTGAAACCCAAGTTCAGAGCGGATGCACAAACTTCATGAAGTCACAGAGCTGCTCATGTGCACTCTGGGGACTGGGAGTGGGCAATGAACCAGGCTCATCCCCACAACGAGTACTTCAGAGACTGGTGTTCCCAGATGCCTCTGCACCTCCAGGAGGGAGCTCTGGGATTGTGCGTGTAATTGCTGTCAATACCTTGTCCTTCCTGTGTTCCTACTCAGCCTGTCTGACTTAAGATCGGGGTTACCTGCTCGCTCTCTTCTTCTTTGAAGCAGTTGAGGGTTCTGTGTTCCAGGAGCTGATTTTGATTTAAATATGGGAGAGGATGTTGTCTTTTCATCTCACCTTCAGATACGACTTCTCTCGTCTTGATAAGTGAGAACCAAGAAGAGAGTCAAATCGACCTTGAAGTGAAGAAATTCAGAGCTCTTCTTGACTTAGCTCAGGAGTGTCAGTAAGTCTTTGATCACATGCTTCACACGTCTCGCTTACTGGAAATAGTTTCAGGAATCCTGCTTTTGGGTTCACTCCAGTGCTAATCCTGGACATGGTCCATCAGCTTTTTGATACTCTTATTTTCTCATTCATAAAATAAGAGAGTTCTGTCTTAACACCCTTTGGTTCCTAAAGGGTGGAGTGGTTAGGTAGGTTTAATCTCGCAGACCATTTTACCAGGTTAGGAACTTAATCCTTGGTTCTGAAACCACAGTTTTGTAAAATCTGCATTAGACCCTTGAGAGAGGCTTGAAATGCAGGTGGACTATGTCAGGTCA